AAGGCTTTCCCCTATTACTCTCCTGTTATATGCCCTATCACATCTCTATGATTATTCCATTTCCATCCAATGCTCTCGAGTTTGCTTTAGCTCCGTTGGAGGTTTATTATACTCACCGATCTCATCTACCTCCTCAAGTAACTCATTTTACTAAGGATGAGCATCCACCAAAATCAAAGCCCTGAAATACCCAATTGATAATTGCTCTGTATAAAATTGCACGTCATTGCCTTGACTACCCATTAAGTTTTTTATTGTCCTTTAATCATTTATCCCCCTTCCTTTCATTAAGTTGCCTTTATTCTTTTATGTTGACATTCTCATATCCCTTTGCTCATTTATCTACATCTCCTCATTGATTTAGTGTATTCCCATGCGTCCTTATTGAGTTCTATTCGATCCTAATTAGAAGTATGCCATGGATGTTGAAATGGGTACATTTCTACATCTTCATACTTGGCATCCAGTTGCGCCCTCATATAGGTTAAATCATTTCATGTAACTCCACTCTTCTTGTTGAATTTCATCCAAAAGGATTTCTTCACTACTAAAACGCTCATTTGGTTCTCAAAGGTTATACATGATAGTATATGGCATTCACTACTTCAAAACCTTATCCCTAATAACTCAGCTCAATTTTGTTCATCTTCTTATCTGTGTTGCCTTAATCAAGGATGTACCCTTAATCCAACAATAGGTCAACAATGTTTTTCTTCTATGGGGATTTCTCTAAATTTATTATATGAAAAAACATTTGGGATATGTTGCTTAGGAGGTCAACAATGCCTTTTTTCTATTGGGATTTCTCTAAACTTATTTCTACGAAGAAACATTTGGGATATGTTGCTTAGGGGTGTCTAACATCCAAACACATTGAAAAGCTATATAGGGCTTAAAACAAAAATCCTCATTTGGTTCGCCAAGCTTTTAATATTGATCTCGGTCTTTAGAGTAGAATAACCGATCATTTTGTCTTCATCTGACATTCTTTTTTCGGCATTAGCAATCCTCTTTGTGGCATAATAATAACATTCTTCTCATTTAGAATGATGCTTCCAACATTAATGTAATAAAACATCATTTTCAGAAAGCATTCTTCTACATTCTTGGCATCGAGTTTACATAAAATAAGGAAGTTGTTTCTCTCTCACAAAGGAAATATTTATAGACCTTAAAGAAATTATTCTTTGGTGCATTTCACGTCATCTCTCCCATGAATTATCTGTTATCAGTCAATAATGATGAAAAATTTAAAGATGCTTCTTACTAGAAACTAGTGGTTTGCAAATCTATCTCACTATCATTTGAACTAATATATTCTTTAATGTTGGTATGTTTAGTCAACATATGCAAAAGTTAAAGAGGAAGCATGGTGTGTCACGACGCGGCTTGGGGTTTGAAATTTTTCAAGACTGAAACCAATGGTCAAACAATAATAATCAAATTTTTTATAACTAATATTTAATTATCCCCAAACAAAATGAAAGTATCACTACAAATTTAAAAATTAAATTAAACAAATGGTAAATTTGCCTAACTTGGGTTGTCCACGCCTTTTATAGATATTTCCTACTCTATTATTCATCTTCACACAAAAGCTTAACCATGAAAAGTTAATTTAAAACAATGATGAGCTACAAAAGTCAATGAATACATCTACTTCTAAACTACAATAACGTAATAAAAAAATAATATGCATGTTGATCATAATTAATATAAATCAATATAAAAAGATTAGATTGTTTTTTTTCTAGATATGATCATTATCATTCGCACTAGTTTAAAACATTCAATGTATTTTATCATATCAATAGTATATATATATTATTTTATTTCTATAAAATCAACACAAGAGCATCATGTAAAACTTAAAGGGGCATCAATATCAATGACATTTTTTATTTACCGACACGAGTATCTTAACATTTTCTCACTATTACCATAAAGTGGTGAAATTCATAATAGTCAACATTTACATAGAATCACTCTATGTAGCTCATATCATTCATATATTTATCAAATTTCATTCGATATAATTTATATACCTTTAAACAGTGCATAATAGTAGTATTTCTAAAAATATATTTTCATTACATTGATATGACCAACAACTAAAAGAGCGTATAAATCAAAGTAAAATCACATAATTAAGTTTTTGAAACTATCAATGAATTCAATTTAGAAGAAATAAAAAAACTAGCATAGCTTAGAAATAAGAGTAATCATCTCAATGTCGTATAATTTACTTTTAGATTTTCAATCTTTTACTCTGACTTCGACTTATTCAATTTGATACCTATAGAAAAAATTCACAATAACAAATTCAATGCTCAAATGGTTATTTTATGCCTATAACAACATTCATTTTTCTAATTTAATATATACTAATCCACTTAAATCCTAACATCCCAATTTCTATTCATCCACTTAAATCCTAACATCCCAATTTCTATTCATTTACTTATTTAAATTTCATTTTATTTAATTAATGATTGTAATAGTTTTAAATTTTAAATTGACATTGTTTTAATTAGATTATTAATCATTTAATTTTTGCACTTATTTCATTATCTTTATTTAATCTAATCTTATTTTAACATACCCTATTCTAGTTTAAATCTCTCATTCATAATAAATAGTTGCTAATTATATCCTTAACTTTGATCAAGTTGTTAATATTATTTATCTATTATTACTTTCATAATTATTATAGTTAAACAACTGATTAATAATTCATAAAGTTTTATTATTAACTTAATAACACTTTTAAATTAAAACAATTTATATAATTAAAAACATAAAACCCAAATATTATCATTTACCTTATGAAGCTCGGCTCTTTCCCAATCCCTATGATGCATCAAGTCACTTCCCTTTTCTTCTTCCTCTTCGTGTTAGGTCCCCAAACACACAAAAAAGCATGCAGGACTTCAGCTTCGGCACTCGCAGGTGAGTCTTCCTTTTCCTTCTCCTTATCTCGCACGACACAACTCATCTCCTCCTCCATACGAGATACACGAGTGCTTCTTCTTCCGCACACGGCTTCTACTCATTGTCGATTCCTTTCCTTCACTCAAATACGACGTTGTCTCCAAAGCAGACCTCAATTCCTTCGATCATAAGGGCATAGTGCCCCAATAACGACCAAACACACATGTAAATGACAAACACATACAGAGTATAATGCACCGTGCAAGCAAACAAACAAACACTAATGCACATGTGAAACATGCACTATGCAAATGATCAGTTGGGGTTGTCGGTTGGACCTAAGTGATCGGTTGACCTGGTTGGGGGGCCAGTCGAACCAAAACGGTCGACAGAGTCGGGCCGGCCGGTAGGACCAAAGTGGTCGGTTGCCAGGGCCGGGGTGGCCGGTCGGACCAAAATGATCGGTCGACCAGGTCGGGGTTTCCAGTTGAGGCAAAAGTGATGTCCACCGAGTCGGGGTGGCCAGTCAAGGCAGAAAGTGATGTCGACCAGGTCGGGCGGCTGGTCGAGATAGAAAGTGATGTTGACCGGGTCGGGACGGTCGATCGAGGCAGAAAGTGATGCTGATGGGGCTGGAGCGACGATCGCTGCAGAAAGTTTGATGCATGAAATGTAACATGATATGGTGCAAATGATTACAAACAATAGTGAGTCATACTCATGCTAAAGATCTCACATAGGCACCTAAGATTTAGCACTTGGATGTGCGGCATAACTGACTCCTGCTTTGGCAAGGTGTGTGGGGAGTTTCACCTTCGGGTCCCTATAAGGGAACTCCCCACAATGTTGCGTGATGGGCTAGTTACAAAGATTTTCTTATATCACAACTCCCGTTATTTTGTAAGGTGAGGTAGCTACAAATTTTTTCTCACTTTACAAAATCCAAGCATCCCAACCCTTCCAAGGAAAGTTTCGGAATGACAAAGCAATGGGAAATTGGGATTCCAACCCGCTAAGATTTATATCTAAGGTTTGCAACAGGAAATCGGTCGGCTCCGCAAGGGGTTTGGCTACGCACGTGATTCCTAACCTAGGGCTTGTTTAGGGAATCAACGGTTAATTCAATGGAATGTGGCTTGTCTCTACTTGCTTCTCAGGGCGTTGAAGTTGTTCCAGTTCAAAATGGGGGTTTTGTTTCTCCCTATAAGTATAAAACACTTGCATCCCTTGCCTCCCCATTCGTAACGCTTGAGTTATGTCGATATAATCAATCATTACACTATGAGGGTGGCTTAAGATTTTTTATATACATAAAAAAATCTTTGTGGCTTTAAGATTCTTGATATACATAAAAAATCTTCAAGGAAAAGTTAAAGTTTATAATAAACATACTATTTAAGAATTGAAAATGTCTGATGCTAATTATGTTAAATCTATTAAGCATGGGAAGTCCACCTAATGATGCCGTTTCTTTGTGTGCGTAAATCACATATCATAGAGGAGTATGAAATAGACTATTGTAATTGGATCTAGTTGAGTTCAGTATAGGTTCATGATTCATGCGACTTAAAACTCTTGCAGAAGAATTTGGTTTCCCTATATCTCATCCTATGATTTTTAATTGTGATAATCAGTCAATATTGTTATCAATGTTATCTTCCCTGAATATATTAAGCATGTTGAAGTGGATTGTCATTTCATCAGAGGTATCATCTTTTAAAAAATACTATATAACTCAGCATATCTTCAACGAATATCAATTAGTAAATAAAATCTCCCATTTTTTTCCAGCATTTGTATCAAACTAGAATACATTAATATGTAAGCTGTATTTAGTGAGGAAGTTTAATAATAGGAAAATGCTAAATTAGAAAAGAATACTAAAGTAGATTAGAAATATTTTATGGTTGTAATATAACCTCTTTATTTTCTTCTTTCTATGCTCACTCTCTTTCCATATACAAGTCCTTGTATTTGTCATCTTCTCAACAGTCATCTTCTCAACAAAGCTAAGACAGAAAATGCCTATACGATCAGTTTTATCATCATTTGTTGTTTTTGTTGATCAGTGGTCCGATGGGAAGCTGGACGCAATCTCTAGAACTGGAAATGGAAGCTCATGGACCTTGCAGAGACGGATGACTGTAGCCATGCAGTTGGAAGGTAATACTTGGGTTGTAGAGTATAAGAGGAGGGCAATGTTTGAGGATTGGAAAATGCTTCCAGCCGCATTGGACGTGCTCCGATTGAGATTCATTAAGATGTTTAATCTAATGAAGCAGCAAACTTCGAGACTTCTAACCCTTGGTTCTATTTCTCATGCTTTCTACCCCCCTGAAGATAGTAATTTAATGCACCCAACATAGGGGAGAGGATATTTCGGAGGTCTCATTTCTTATGAGAATTTTGTTCTGAAATTTTCAGATTTTGTAGCAGGTATCATTACATTCTAAAGCTCTGTAAGACAAGGGTTGATGATATATTTTTCCTTTGATTTTAGCAATGGTTTTACTTTACAGCAGGTCTCTAGCGTTCAGTAAGCTGTGCTGCTATATTGGGTCTGAATACATGTTATGATTTCATATGCTAGAACTTATGGCTTGCGCTTTAATGAATAGTGTTAGTTGGCTTAGAACTGATTTGATGGGCATATATAGCAATTTGATGATTTCAAATCTTTATTGTAGTATTATATAACTATAGTTAGGAAGATGTACATACATACTACTTAATTACTATGTATGTACATATGTACCACTTATACTTTAATTTTCACATATATTCCACCTTGCTTATGTAAGCTTTGGGTCGTATAAATGTAAACACGTAGGAATTCAGTGGTATGTATGTAAACGCCCCTATAATTAATGGATTAGCATCTACCATATTTTACTTGTATCTACACCTAACTTTATATTAATTAAGTGCTTCAACCAACGTTATTTAACTAATTGCATCACTATATATTGATGCATGATCACAAGCACTGTGGAATGGCCCAGTCAAATATTGACAAAAAGAAAATTTTATACAAAAAAGAGTTGTGGAAATTAAATGTACAAATAAATTAGCTTTACCGTATCATACACCAGTGCATGGTGAAAATTCACCAGAATTCTCTACATGAGCAATTGCCATCCATGAAGTGGTGAAACCGAGTTCTATCTCTCAAAATAATTTCCCTTTTATAAACTATTGATGCCAGCTTCATAAAAGAGTGGCAATCCCTGCAAACCCTAAGATTCTTCGCTATGCGAATGCATGAGCCCGGATTCAAACCAATAAGCCCGAATGAGAGGGCCAATTTTTCACTATGTAAGAGAATAGCTGCCCTCTTCTCATCCTCCTCCAGATTGAGCAGCACACTCCCAATATCAGGAAAATAGCCTGCAACTTCCAATGCCTTCACTACCTCATCTAACTTGTCATAGATCTCAGCAGACCTCGAATGGGAGTCATCTCCCGCCAGAAACTCATGCACTTCACCATCCATTTCAATCCAACTGTACCCTTTCTCCTTAGGAACAGCCCTGTCTTTCATCAACCTCCTCACCTCTTCAACTTTCTCCCATCGATTAGCTTTTGCATAAATGTTAGACAGAAGGACATAAGCGCCATCATGCCCTGGGTCAAGCTCCAAAAGTTTCTTCGCTGCAAGTTTGCCCAGCACAATATTTCCATGGATCTGGCACGCCCACAGAAGTGACCCCCACTCCACCACATTTGGTTGAAAAGGCATGGATTCTATGAGCTCATGTGCTTCTTGAAGCAGCTTTGCTCTGCCAAGAAGATCTACCAAGCAGCCATAATGTTCATGCTTTGGCTCAATCCCATGCTCATGAATCATCATCTTGAACATACATCGTCCCTCTTCAACCATACCAGAATGACTACAAGCGTAGAGCAGACCCACAAAAGTCACACCATTGGGCTCAAATCCCATGGCCTTCATCTCATTAAAAAGTTCTAGTGCAGACCTCCCCTCCCCATGCATGGCAAGCCCAGTGATCATGGTGGTCCAAGTAATAACATTTCTTTGAGGAAGCTTTTCAAAAATTGTTTGAGCCATTTCCAAGCTTCCACACTTGGCGTACATGTCAATGAGAGCATTATTGACCGATACAATGCCGTCAAAACCATTCTTGTTGGCATAGATGTGAATCCATCTTGCAAGATCAATGGCACCCAGATGAGAACAGGCTGAAATAACACTTAAAATTGTGATATTGTCTGGATTCATTCCACTTGCCGACATACCATTAAATAGTTTAAGAGCCTCCACCGGTTGCTCGCTCTCAACATAACCTGAAATCATGGCGCTCCAACAAATAAGGTCCTTCTCGTGCATTCGATCGAATATTGAGCGTGCAATTTCAATCTTTCCAAGCTTGGAGTAGCCAAAGATCATGGCTGTTGAAGCCACAAGGTTTTTGTGAGACATCTGATCATACAAGTTTTGAGCAGTGCTCATTGAGTTGCAGTTGCAGTACATTGTAATGAGTGCACTTTGAATGTGATCATCAATCTTGATTTTAGATTCAGTCATGAATGAGTGAACTTTTTTGCCAAAGGACAGATTTCCAGTGCGCCCGCAGGCTGTGATGATGGTGGAAAGAACCACATTGTCAGGGACAAAACCAGAGTTTCTCATGGCTTCAAAAAGCATCAGCGTGTCATCGTACTGCCCAGCCTGGTAGTAGCTGGAGGGGGAACAAAGCAATAAGTTGGTCAATTAGCTTAGAGCAGACTTAAAAAAAAAGGATAAATTTGGTAGCGTTCATTGACTCAAAAGTTCAGAAACAAGATTTCAGATATGCAGTCTTCATATACGAAACAGTAAATTTCAACATCCAATGGAGCATTAGAAACCACTCTTACCAGTCCAGCATTACGTTCCAAGCGACCACGTCCTTGTATAGCATTCTATCAAACACCTTGCGGGCATCTTCCACCATTCCACCAGCCGCATAGGCTCCTGCAAGCGATGTCTGAATGAACGGATCCGACAGAAACCCCAATTTCAGAACAAGCCCATGAGCCTCCCTCCGTGCAGCAACACCATCCCCGCCGTTAAATTTAGCAGCAGCGCTAAGCAACGTTGGAAACATAAACCGGTCAACCTCAACTTCCGAACGCCGAATGCAAGCGTAGGCAATGAGAGCTCGGCGAGGGCCATCGGGGGCGCGAGAGAAGGTACGGAGTGCGCGGTGACATATGCGTGTGTCGAGATGTGGGGAGTGGAGGAACACGGTGAGGATGTAGTCGAGAGACGGAGGGGAAGAAAAGGGAAAAGAGAGGAGTTTAGACAGGAGAAAGGAGAAGGAATTGTCATGGCCTGAGCGCAGGACCTGAGCGTGGAGTTGCTTGAACTGATGGATGGTGGTGGGACAAATGCTGATGGGAAGCAGAAGATGGTGGCGATGGTCTGCTATCGCCGGCGATGGAAGAGAGTTGGCGGAGAGTGGAGGTTTGGTAACTGTCTGCATTTTCTTTCTGCGGGGTTGGGGGCGGGGGGGATGGGGAAATAGGAGAATTGGCGATATTTGGTAAGCAAAGGTGTAATTCTGGTCAGCAGTTCCAGTTTGGGTCCAGTTTGAAAATGGCTCAACTCAATCGGGTCAATCAGAATTCGACTCAAATTTCCGTGCTTATTCAAGTTATTTTTAGATTTTCAGGTTTAACATGGACCCAAACCAATCCGAATAATAAACGGGTTGAATTTGATTATCCAACCCAACTAGAAAAATATTTGAGTTAATCCTAACTTGTATTTTTTTAGCCGGGTTTGATTTGTGTTGGTGTGTCACGTCAATTTTTGACACCCCTATTGGCATGGATGTTTTAAGCACTTCGTGACTCACCGATTTTAAGTGAGCTAAGCAGGCTAGTGCCAGCTCAAGCTGAGCTTTGATAGGTGGTTTGTGGCTCTTGATTCGAAATCTAAACTCCATAAACTAATTAATCAAACTCAGTATTCAAACTCAAGTCATCCAAGGCTCCATTTAATTTAAAATAATATTAATATAAAATAAATTTAAATATATTATAATTTAATTTTTTTATTTTTTAATTATTAAAAGTATTTAAATTTGTTGAATTCTAAATTGTCTATGAATCACATCTCAATGATTATATTATCGAAAAGAAAAGAGAAAAAAATTAGCAACATAACATATTATCTTTTAGTTATTTCTTATAAAATGTTCTTCATATTTACACGGAAGATGGTACAATATATGATATTATATTTTGCCCCTACTTTAATTAGGTTGTTATTAGATATTTTAGGTATTTTACATATATTAGTCTATCCCTTGATGGTCCTATGCCTTAGTTGGCTTCGGCTCGGTAAGGCCAGTTCGTTCAGCATGATTGAGTAGGCGCAACCGGTCGGCTGGATTTTGATTAGCTTTGTGTCAGCAAGATTGGCTCGGCTGACTAAACTTTATCAATGGGTTGATTTGTTTTAACCATCAACCCCTAATCCCTAGATGAGGAGTTTTTGTCGGTAAAACAAGATTAGATTATCAAGCGGAGAGTGAATCAATGGAACTTAATAGATTGCTCATTCCTTGAAGAGGGACGTATTTTAGGATGATTGTGAGGCTATGTTACATCTCCAATTACTGGTCCCTAATGAGGAACATTGGGAGCGTCCGTAGGATGACTGGCGATGGGAAAGAATAGGATGCTTTCCTTGGGTTGGATCTGTCGAGAGGCAGGTTGATGTGTTGGCTCAATTTTTCGGTGGCGGTTAGCTCATATGTTGATTTGTCTATTCAAATCTGGTCGGCCCAAGCTTGGATCATTCTCTTTGTCATTCTCCTGCCTCAGTTAGGCTTCATCCTTAACTTGGATGACTAAATCTGATAAAATAAGTGGGACCTCTTAATCTCCTGTCGATGAGTCTTTCTTTGTTGAACTTACTTTCTTCCGGACTATTGGATCTCCTTGGGATTCATGTTAGCAGAGCCTTGATATACAAAATAAATATTTTTTTATTGTAAAAGTGATTTCTTATCAGTCTTCTAGTTATTAATTCTATACTACTATATTTCATAATAAATATGTCGACTCGTAAGCCAACTTGAACTTATAAAAGTAAGCTTTAGTTTGAGTTCAAACTCGATAAAATAATTAAGTTCAACCTCAAGATTGTTATGAAAAGTATTAAAATATAATGGGTGTAAATTATGAAGTGTATATATTAGTAAGACTGATATTATGTAACATAATTTGGGGAGATCTAATTATATGATCTTTATATATTATCAAATATAATTTGAGAAGATTTAAGACTATGACCTTTCTTTTATTCGAAACATTATTAATTTATATATCACGGTCATTTCTTATTTATATGAAGGATTTGGGTGTGCTTTGTTGTGACCCTAATTTGACCATTTTTTTCTTTTCTCGGACAATTGATATTGGAATACCTTCTCCTCGTGGACGCACTCGGATTCGTGTCGAACCATTTAAGTCTCGTTGTGTTTGGTTATTTGTTTGTTGTGTGAATTTATTATTTCCATTATTTTGCATAATAATGGGTATCAGAGTAAGATCAATGATTCCGACAACAGGCGATTGTGATTCCTTGAAATATTACATGTCAAAAAGGTATAAAAATTTTGCTTGTGTGCATCTATCATGCACAAAAATGAGAATGTCATCTACAAATATAAAGGAGAGTTCTCTATTAGCATCTACATGCATCAAAATAGAAGAACCATTAAGGGCGTGTTTGGCACAAAAATGAGTCGCCCTATTAATTTTACGTGGCATATGAAAAAAAAAAACTTGCCTAAATTTCAAAAGAAAGATGATATATGTTAAGTGATTGAAGCTCAGCTTCAATGTTGTCTCAAAGTTGAATATGGTGTCTGGTAGTAACAAAAGCAGTACCTCGCTCGCCACGAACAATAATACTGGCCCCGCCGATCTGGAAGGAATAAGAGCATCGTAAACGTTCACTTTAATCCATTCGGATGGAGAGAATACCAAATCATATTACATGGTACCAACCTAAGGGTTCGGCTAGCTTCCCATTGCTCTCAAAATGGGTAAAGTGGTGTCTTGATGAGAACTTCTAAAAGGGTAGTCGCAATGGTGGTTGGCCTGCCAAAGGAGTGGCTATGAGTCTTTTGCATTGCAAGCTCTCCAACAATGTTGAATTACATAGCTAATAACATTGGGATTGTGGGAGATCAGTCTTAGTCCCCTTGTTGAACTTATTCATGACTTCAATGAGTCATGGACACAAAATAAAGGGAATGAAGCAAATTAAGTTACAAGCTATAATGGAGTCATGAATAATAACATGACGTTGGGTACTTCAACATCCACCACAATGGTGGAAATGGCATTGATTCATCAAATAGTTATGCATCAAGTCAAAATCGAGGTAACAAAATATAACGGTAAAAGAAATATTGGCATGTGTTGGTGCAAGGTGATGGATGTGGTGTGCTCTTTGAATTTGAAGGATATTTTTGATAGCAGTGAACATCCTGTAGAGAAGTCAGAAAGAGATTGGATGAAAATGAACCAAAGTGATTGTAGCTTGATCCAAAATAGTATGTCTTAGGAGATCAAATATGAGGTGATGATGGAAACATTTGCAAAAAAAATTGTGGAGGATGTTGGAGGACAAATATCTCACAAAGAGCAAGTAGAATTGTTTCCATATGAAGTGTTGACTTTAGAAGTTTCATATGAGATGAGAGGTTACTATTGATAAGCACTTGAATGATTTTACAAAGCTTTTGACAGATCTGTTAAATATGGAGGAGGGGGTTGAACATGAAGACAATACACTTCTTCTATCAAATTTGCTCTCGGATGACTATAAAAACTTCACGATGACACTCATTCATGGAGAGAAGTTCTTGAATTATGGGGAGGTGGCTATAATCAATTTAACGATGGAAAAATAGTCTACAAATATGTAGTTTAGCTAAGACACTTACACTCTAATGTGTCAAATTTGAAAAGAAGAAAAATTTGACAAAGAAGAGTAATGGTGATGATACTTCTCAAAAGTGGGACAACTCCCATGAGCGTGATCTTGAGAAAAATCAATATACTTTCAATTTAGAGACTTGTCATTAGAAGAAAGATTATTTAAATTTGAAATATAATGAAAACGGTGTTTCCTTTTGTGGTGAAATTTAATCTTATTATAGAGAAGAGTGTCAGAGCGAATTCAGACGTATCATTATTTGCAGTTTTTCATAGTTTATATACAAATGATTCGTTATGGATCATAAACACAGATGCAACTTATCACATTTGCCCTTATAGAGAGTGATTTTGTATGTACAAGAAGTTGGATAACAGTGTAGTGACTATGGGCAATAATCAAATTTATCATGTTATCGATATAGACAGCATCTTAGACAAGATATATGATGTTACTGTGAGGGAGCTTATTGATGTTGGATATGTTTTGAATATCAGAAAGAATTTGTTATTGTTGGATTCATATAGGCCAAGGGTTATAAAGTAGATTGAGGACATGCCATGAAGCACTAATTTTTATGAAGAGAGTTTGTCATCACAGCCTTTACTATCTTCAAAGTGGTAAAGTGATTGGAGTTGTGATTGTTGTTGATGATTATTCTGATGCCACCACGCTATAGCATATGTGGCTAGCACATGCTGGAGAGACTTCACTTTAAGCTTTAGTGAAGTATGGATTTATCAATGGAACAAGCACTTGAAATCATGATTTTTATGAACATTGTTTGTTTAGCTAGAAGACACAAGAATCCTTTGTTACTATCATTCACACTACAACGAGTATTTCAAAGTAAATTCACACATATATTTTGGGTCTGACAAAGATGACATAATTCAACGACCATAGATATTTTGTCTCTCTTATTGATGATTACTCCAGATATGTTTGAGTGTACACTATGAAATGAAAGAGTGGAGTGCTGAGAAACTTTTTAACGTAGAAGAAGCAGATTGAGATTTAGAATAGAAAACAAGATCTGGTATATCAGATCAGATAGTAGTGGAAATACACATTAAATGCGTTCTTTCAAGGGTTTTAAGGAATTAAGATATAACACAACTTCACTTTTAGAGAGACACCGCAACAAAACATGGTGGCAAGGAGGACAAACCTGAATTTGGTGGAGAATGTTTGGTTTATAATGTCTAATGCTAGGTTGGATAAAGTCTATTGGGCTAAGGTCATAGACTATATTTGTCACTTATTGAACAATTTGTCTTCTGCAACTATTGATAATAAGACCCCCAAAGAAGATGTGGTTGTGGCATCTTGCTAGATATTATGAGCACATGAGAGTGCTTGTATGTCCAACTTAACTACTACATATAAAATGATAAGCTAGAATCACAAGAAAAGAAGACAACATTCATTGGCTTTATGTATGGATTCAAGCTTTATGATCAATAAAAAATTGATTGTCAATAGTAGGGATGCTACATTTGATGAGGAAAGCTTGTTGAAGCCTCGAGACT